AATGCCTGAATCTGGAAATAATGTACTGAGTGAAGTTACGGATGATTGTGAACCTGCTTCTTCTGACGGAATGATAATTAGGTATCAGCCACCAACAGAAGGAGAGTTGGCGCCTGCATCTTCCACGCCATTGTTAAATTTTGAAGACATAATAGAATTTGATCTTTCTTCCGAGGAAATGAGAGATCTTCTCGGGGATGTCGATCTTTTGTCAGGATCATTGGATGAAAAACACCCCCCTTACGAAAATTATGGCCAGCTTATTCTTCCAGATATATCTGGTGATGATTATATGCTCGAGCAACTTCTTTTATCCAGTCCATCGATAGAAAATGAACAAGCTGCCAAGCTTGATGAGGGCAACAATGAATGTCAAAATAAGAACATGGATTCTTCAGAGTTTCAAACCCTACTTGATAACTCTGAGAGCATGGACGTTTTAACTAAACAAATGGGATTTCTAAATTCAGAAAGCAGCCAAAGATATTGAGGTTTACTTCAAGCCACAAGCCATTGCCAAGGAATGTGTTTTTGAAAGATTTGCAATACATTTTGTTAGTCTTTTGAAAGGCTAGACAACAGGCATTTTGGGTTTAATGAATCCAATTATGCTTGGTTATTGTCCATTTGAGTACAAGTTATTCTATTCTGATTATTTTGCTTCATACAGAATGCATGAAGAAACCAACACAATAATGGAGAATGTACAACTATATTACTCATTATACATCCTGGTGCTGTTCTTTATTCTGAAGCCTCGTAGTATCCTTTCTTGCACATACATGAGCTTGATGATGTTAATTCTTCCGCCAAATCTCAAGAAGACGATGACCAGTTTTTATTTGGTCTTGAGCATGTTTGCTAATTCGAGTTTTTGTTAGGTGTTAGGGAAATTAAATGGCTTTCAGCCCGTCTAGCATATGTAATTTCCACCTGTCCCCAAATTTTCTCCCTGCTTCCCCTTCCCATCTCTAGCTTCCATGCACGCCTCTATGACAATAATCGGTGAGAAGGTTTTTTCAGAAAATTCGTCATTGATGCATGTATTAATCGAAAATAAGATTTAATTAGCTATTGTATTAGTTTTAGGGCGACAATATTAAGCATCAAGATGTATTTGGTTGAATATGTTAAGTTGTGGAATTTAATTATTGTTGATTTTAATTATTATCACTCCTAATTATTGAAGATAGCAGTGCGACTCTCTTATATATCCTTTTTCAAAATTATATTATAGTGAATTACCGCAGCGGTGGGATACACATTGTCTCACACTAAAGCGAACTTGTATAAATCTTGCGTGTTTATTTTTTTTTTTTCGAATTGATTACTCTCGGTAGAATAGAATTATAGTTTATAATTTTCAACAGAATATACTTGTTTGAATCAAGTATTGGACTTCCTACATTCACTCTCAGAAGAGCATCGACTTTAAGGGTGGGCAAATTGCTGGCCTAATCATACCAAACCGCCAAAATGAAACGACTCGGTTTAGTTTTGAGGGTTTGCTTGGACCAACCCAAAAGTTTCGATTTAAGTCAGTTTATTCATCTTATCGGTTCAGTTTCAGATTAAGATTTCACCTAACTTGAACCGTCTGTTTGGTCAAATCGATTTATTAATTTTGTCAGTACGATTTCGGGTTGGGAGAGCGTCGATTCAAAATTTGGGTTGTCTAAACTCAATTCAACTAGTGTCCACCCCTAATCGACTTTGTGATTATTTGTCAAAGTCAAGACGACAAATGATTAATTAACGACGGGCAAACATTCTCGTTATTTGGTATGTGCCTTGTCAAAAATATAATGAAATCACCCTTGTTATTTTTTCTCGAAATCCTGCTACTGAGAAAGACATTCACTTATAATTTTCTTTATACATATGCGGAAAGTAACTGGAAAGTTGGGTCCATTAAAGCGAATATCTCAAAGCTGTAAAATAACCTCAACACAGAAAAAACCATGACATTCTCCAAGTCAAAGGTAAACTTGAAACATTCAAGTACCAAGAATGTTCCCTAAACAGCTTTGGCCACGCCAAAAGCAGAAGCCAAATATGAAAAAGCGCGCAGTTTGTTGAGCACTCTTAATTGGCCTATTCCAAGTGAACTGAACTTTTTGCAATGCCAATGGAGTTAACACTACAGAGGAAATGAATGTTAGCAATTGCAATAGTGAACGCATGCTGTCTTTTGGATTTGCTTCTCCAGTCCCAGCTCAAACCTGCACTTGTAGATAAAGTTGTTAAGAACTTTGTGCAATTCGATTCAAATATAATGGAGAGGGAAGGAATTATTAAAGATGGAGATAGGGTAGGTTGAGATATATTTTTTGAGTTAGATGATACTTAAATTTAATTAATTTTATATAGTTTCGTGGGTTCAAAGTGGTTCATCGGAATATCTTTAATTTTTTATTTGGAGAAAAGCATAATGTTCAAATAAATTTTTGCTGTATCGTGATTCTTGGTATATGTGAATGTGATCCAGCAAACTAAACAACAAAATTTGGCTTCAAATTGTGCAGTACACTATATGAACAGAACAAGACGTGTGGATGCCACACTTCCCTACCGCAGTTTCTACGTGTGTGCGTGATACGACCATTTTACTTTAAATAAAGCAAAAAGGACCGGACCAATATTTATTATCATGTGATTTGCAGTATCAGATGGGCTAAAGCTGAAGCAGATGCAACTGCACCAATAACTACTAAGGGAAGCTCAGTGGTGAGTTTTTCTAGCCCGTGACTGAGTTGGGCAATCACCTTTTTAATTAAAAATTTGAGATGGTTCCACCAATAAACATTATTATTATTATTATTATTAAAAATGCGATAAAAAGTTCTTGTGTTTCAAACAATGTATTAAACCCCGGATTGTTCCGATGGTTCAATTGAAAAACTAGTGACTCGACCGTCAAATTCAGTTCTGGCTACTTTATTACAGTGGTTTCCATAAAAAGGCTGGAAGGGCTAACGATATAGTTTATGATGCTACTGCAAAGTTAGATCTATTAAATCAAATGTCTCAAAGCTATAAAATAAACTAAACACACATAAAACTATTAGCCTTATATAATATTATTTCTTAATATTTAATTTCCTTCTTTTATAGATTTCGTTTTTATTTACTCTTCTTTTAATATATATAAATTTGTGTATTTCATTAAAAAAAAACCTAATTTTTGGCTCTTTCTCTTCTCTTTGAATTGATTCATTATATTGGTTCAAAGTAGCTCATGTTGTTAACATGGTATTAGAGCCTATAGTCGAATGAAACTTGAGAAATTTCTGATTGTAATACGTTGAAAATCCAAGCACAAACCAGGCAGGAAAAAATTGTGCAAAACCATACTCTGCAGCAACTAAAAATCACGATTCCGATCGAACGGGAGACTGATTGAGAAAACTGAGACCAGATTCCTGTTCAGCACGTCGAAACATATCTTTCGGTCAAGCGTGTGGCAGCCTCTAGTGTTGACCTGTCATTTTCCTGTTTGAATTTATCGTCTTATAGTTTTTATTCGTGGCATTCTCGTCTTGGATATGTTTTCGCTAGTTGCTTGAAATTTTTAGTTTCTAAGGATCAATTGAGAGATTTGCAAAACCATGACATTTCTAATTGTAGCGGTTGCAAATTACCTAAATTTCCAATTGTAGTGGTTGCAAATTACCTAAATTTTTTGCTCTATCTTTTCCTAGAAATGTTTCTCATTCTGTTGCACCATTTGATCTTATTCACTCTGATGTATGGGGACGTGCTCCTATTGCTACAAAATGAGGGTTTAGATATTAAGTGCTTTAGATGTGACTTGAGTGGAGAGTGTACTTCGACTGATTCTCTGAATTGCTTCCTCTTGACAACACAATTCATCAAACCTCGTGTATTAATACCAGACAACAAAATAATGTTGCTAAACGAAAGTAAAGGCACATTGTAGAACTGCTCATTCCCTTCTCTTGTCTGCCAAAGTCCCCAGTGAATTTTGGGAAGAAGCAATTATCAATGCTGCTTTGCTGTATGTTGATGATATAATTATTACTTGTGATGATGTTGATAAGATTGCAAACGCTCGATATTCACTTTCTGACGGTGTACCCTTGATTGATCTCACTTTGTATTGCACCATTGTTGGTGGTTTATCTTACCATTACACATCCCGATATTGCTTATATTGTTCACATTGTTAGTCAGTTTGTTTTGATTCCTACTATAGTTCATTGGGCAGCTGTTCGTATTTTGCGCTATCTTTGTGGTACTTGCTTTCAGATAGTGTTTCGTGCCTATTCTGATGATGATTGCGCCAGTAACCCCACTGATCGTAAGTCAACTACTAGTTTTTGTATATTTTTAGGTGATTCATTTATCTCTTGGAAGAGTAGGAAAGAAATTGTTGTTTCTCATTCCTCTACTGAAGCAAAGTATCTTGCTATGGCATTCACTATCACTGAAATTGTGTTGTTACATTGGTTACTTGTACACATTGGTATTTCTTCTTCTCCAACCCCATGTGTATTGTGATAATAAAAGTGCTATTCAGATTTCTCACAACTCTATGTTCCATGATCGTACGAAGCATATTGAGATTGACTTTCATCTGATTTGCTATCATTTGTAGACTGGCACCATTTCTTTACCTTTTGTTTCTTCATCGTTACAGCTTGCTGACTTCTTTATTAAATTTCATCCAGTTCATCGTTTTCGTTTCTTGCTTGACAAACTCTTGCAACTTTTTGCTTTAGCATTGTGAGTTTGAGGAGGATGTTAGCCTCATATAATATTATTGCATAATATTTAGTTTCTTTCTTTTATATATTTCATTTTTGTTTACTTTCTTCTTCTTCTCTTCTCTTCTCTTTTCTTCTCTTTGAATTGATTCGCCATATTGGTTCAAGGAAGCTCATGTTGTTAACAAAAACAAGACATTCTCAAGGTCAAAGAAAAACTTGAAACAAGATTGTAATGGTCAAAAGCAGCAGAATGTAATGTAAATCCTAATCCTATCCTTGAACAGCTTTGGCCATGCCAAAAGCAGCAGCAGATGCAATAGCTCCAATTAGTGCAGTTTGTAGAGCGCTCCTAATGGGCTTATTCCCAGTGAAGTAACCTTTTGCGTAACCAAAGATTAGCAATGCCAATAGAGTTAACACTACAGAGGCAATCACAGCTTTTTTTGCAATTGGAATGAAAATGTAGGGAATTAGTGGCACCATTCCACCCACAATGTAAGCAATTGCAATTGTAAATGCACTTTGAAGTGCTCTCTTTGGATTTGGCTTCTCCAATCCCAGCTCAAACCTGCACTTGTAGATAAAGTTGTTGGAAATACCGAAAATAAAGATCATCGAGTTCAAGGGAGTTTTGTCACACAAGAGCATGTTTCATATGGAGTGTTAGATAGCAACGCACGTGACAATATGCAAGATTTTAATTTAATTTTCTGTCGACGGTGTTAAAAAAACTCCATCTCTGTTTGGTAAGAATTAAAATCTAGATTTTAATCTAAATCAAAGTTAACAATTAAGTTTAATCATGAGACTTACAACTTTTTAACCACACATTTTGATCAAAAGCTACTAAAAATCCGATTAGAATCCCCACTAAATAGGGCATAATATAATTTTGAATTAATCTGTTTTGATTATGTTCTGTTCCCTTTTGTATTTTTCAACAACTAGGTCTTATAGTGCCATTATAATACATATCCACTATAAATCCTTTTGGGAGTGGGAAATCCTATCTTGTGGGATCTCGACCCACTTATTGAATATCTATCCATGCGATTCTTTAATTCTAATTTTGAAGAATTAGTGGATTTCAAATATGTTCAATAAGATTTTGTCAATCATGAGAGTTGAATAAAATTAGTATAATGTTTTCTATTTAAAAAAGATGTTTCCAAGTAACTTTTAAACTTAGCCAAACTTGATGAACTTACTTCATCATAAAATCCAGCCATGCCTGCGGATTCTTCCTCAGAGCATTCACTACTGGCGTGTATTCATGCGGCTGAACCCCATATTCGGATAGTATCTCTGCAACCTCAGCAGCTTCTGCATATTTCAGAAAAAAAAAAATGGTGTCAATTATAATTAGACATCAATGAAACTCACATTCAACTCTTCTAGAAGCTCGATGATTCAGATAGATTTTTATTTTTGTCGACGATGGTGCGTTTTTTCCTTTTGTTTTGTGAGAAAGGGCAACGAGGAGAACAAAAAACTCTTCATATGTATGTATAGTATAAGAAGCCCATCTCACCTGTATCGGGCACATCATTGATCTCTTCCTCTTCTCTTTTCATTTCTCTGATATAATGATCTGCCTCACTTTTAGCAGCGAGATACCTGAATTTCATACAACACAAATTCATATTATACTAGGAAATAAAAAATGAATTATAAAGTTAATGAGGCTGAATCCGAGAGTTTACCCTCCAAGTCCCATGGAGATGGCTCCGGCAGCTACCTCGGCTATGCCGGCGGTGAGAATTATGGAGGACGATGCATTGGCGCCGGACAGACCGGCCGCAAGCGCAAAAGGTACGGTAAGTCCGTCGGAAACACCGATGATTATGTCACGAACAATTTCTCCAGCAGTGAAGTGCTTTTCTGTGTGTTGATTCAACAAAGATTTTCCCGTTTCTCGAGCCATCGATGTTGAAGAAAGAATTTAGAGAGAAAGAGATGATTTACATGACAAAATGGGTTATATTTTTGTTGAATATAAAGACATTAGCATGGCATCATTTGTAAAAATACAGCCGACGCTTTTAACTTTTTCCTTATTTGGAGGCACAAAGCCCTCATTCTTTCGAATTTAAAATCATGGGTCCCACCCCCTGTGTGGAGAGTGTCAAACTAGATATACACAAAAGTGTATATCTAGCATTACTCTTTATATTTTTGGTTAATTATTAATGCCAATTTTCGGTATTAAATAAATATTATTCTATGAAGATTTATCTTTTCTACTTTTTTTCTTTTGTGTTAAATGTACACAATCTTCATATCATTAAATTGAAATCTTATCTTATTCTTCTAAAAGAATAGTCTATTAGCCTTACATTTGGTGAGATCCAATATATTTTTTTTTTTTGAGAACAGCCTAAAGTTTCAATTAAAGATAAAATAGTTCTTGCTATATCTCGGTCGGTCTTATCTAGGTATATATGATCCAGCAAGCAAAATTGACTTGGAATTGTAGACTACACTTTATGCAACAGACATGTGGCTGCCACACGCCCCTACCGCACTTTATGCACTGTACGAACTACACTTTATGCAAAAGACATGTCGATGCCACACGCCCCTACCGCACTTTATGCACTGTACGCGTGTATATGTACGTGCGTAGATAATACGACAATTTCATTTTAGATCAATCAAAACAGGACCCTCCTACATGTTATTATCATGTGATTTGCAGTAAGTGCTGAACTTTTCATGCCCGTGACTGAATTAGGTAATCGCTTTCAATAAAAAAATATTTGGGCCCGTACAGATTTATTTTTTCATATGCGATTACAACGTTTTAAAACCCGGATTAGTCCAAGGGTTCAATTGAGAAACTGGCGTCCTCCCCACCAGTTCAATCCAAGTCACTTTGCTATTAGGGTTTACAACAAACCTCGTAAAAACAGCTGACCCAACCCGGCGTATGACTAATTGAAAAAGTCATAGATTACCTATCTAGAATTTGAAGAGTTGCTTAATGTATTATGGCGAAAATCTGTGCATATATTACCTGAAAAGCTTGAAATCAGTTTTAAATAAGTACTCTCACCGTTGAATTTCATGCTTAACAACTCAAACAGCCATCCATCAGTTGCTCGTACTGGTCTGAATCCGCTCGTGATCACCTGAATTCACCACTATTGCTAGACTAAACATTCCACACACAATGAGAATGTTTCATTTTTTTTCAATCCCATTTACATTTATTTTAGTAGAAGGTGCTTTAAACTAAATATCTCATCACCTTTCCACTCTAGTTCGAGATGGACGTGCTCACGTTATTTCGAAAAACGTTAGAACGTTGCTTGTCGAGTTAATAACATCAAATTTCCTATTATTGTGAAAGCATCTCTTTTATCAATACAAGTGGAACCAACATAGATCACAAAACAAAACCATGCTCGTGTGGTTTACATCGATTCATTCATCCCATCTATTCAATTTTTAATTGAAATTTCACCACCAAGGTCAATTGATGGGTCGAATGAGAAAATGACGTACACAATAATTATCTTATAATTCGTTTTAAGCTATTGGATATTCAAATTATAAAAAGATCAAATATATGGTTAACCTCATCAATTGGAATTGAAAATGAGTCGTTGATATACCCCCTCGAATGCAAGAAGATTTATAATCATTTAAAAAATATTAAATTCTTAATGGAGAATTGTACAACCCCACATCAGTTACCTTCAATTTTTGCCATGGACACACCAATTACACTACTTCGACCCAATGAAAAAACCAAGGATAGCCTTGGTGTGTAGCCCCAATCAAAAATAAAAAACGATCAAGTATGCAGTATATAAGCAGGGTTCCAGAAAATAATAATAATTGGACTGCCAATTTATTTCTAGTTTACAACATTATTATTGAAACGAAAATACATTTTCTTCATGATATTATCTCATGAAAGGTGAAATCTTTCAGGTTATGAACTCAAATATATCAAAATAATTTTAGGGGATAATTATATGCTTTTAAGGGTTTCTTGTTCCTCTCAGACAAATGCCTCGAATTGACATCACTATTGTTAAGAATGGATTTCGATCAGACTCGTCATCTTGTATTGTTCATCACTGAGGAACATATTCGAACAAATTGTAATTTCTATAAATAAATAAACAAAATGTTATTTATTATACAGAACTAAAGTAATAGTAAATTATATCTCTTCATGTCATTCTATAAAAATTTCAGAAAGAATAATCTCAGAAGAAAGAAAGTTCATATTAAATCAAAATAAAATAGATATCGTTTGGGAAGCATACAATGGATGCAATATAATTACTAAAAATTTATGGATCAAATAATAAAACGTAGATTATGTCATATCTCTTATTAAAATCCACAACGAAAATGATTTATTCTAATTAAAAGCCTCTTCAGTTCAGGTCTCCATAAATCTTCCACATGGAAATTTTTTTTTCAGAAGAACGAAAGTATGATTTAGTCATCATTAGAGGCCAACTACCAAAAAAGAACCAAATTAAAATACTGCTTAAGTAAATAAATATTAGCCAAAAAATAGAAGAAAAACAGAATCCAGATCCGGCACCCACAATACATATGGAAGAGCTGGACTATCAAAGGATTAAAAAAAAAGAGAGAAAATCAATTTTGTCTCTTCAGTTCAGGTCTCCAAAATTATTCAGCACTGAAAACTTCTCAGGAGATAAAAGGTCATATTTATAACAAATTCATCATCATAGAGACAAATCTTATGCAAAAATGCAAATTAACAGGTCATGATCAGAGAGCTTAATCTAATACCTCGCTACGCGCCAACTTCTGCAAGCAATAATCACTGTGTGCGGTGTGCTTCTATATATAGTGGAAAGTGTAGCGGCGTTCAGATTTCAGAAACCCTAGGAATTCTGAATTGTAATTGGGCTTTTAGAGCCTTTTGGATTGGATAGTCACTCCGTATTTTTTCTATTTGGGCTGGATAATTTTGAGGCTCATACTTTGTGAACTGACAGGTAGTTTTATATTGGATCAACGGACTACAAAAGT